GCGTGGTCCGAGTGCGGGGCCCGCGATCCTACGAGGTCTCCAGTGAGGACGGCCAACTGCTACACCGCCACATCGACCAGCTTCGGCGAAGGGTCCTCTCGAACGACCCCGAGGACCTGGAGTTCCCAGAAGCTGATGAGGCATCAGCCGACGAGCTGGAGGCACAGACCCAGGCCCCCGTTCCAGTTCCGGTAACACACGAGGCCCCGGCTTCGCCGCCACTCACACCGCAACCCGTCTCCCCACCACAGGACTACGGGGCAGCCCTGGCCGTCGCCCCGGAGCCCCGCCGCTCCGCCCGGACTCGGAAGGCCCCAGCGTACCTACAGGACTTTGTGTGTGGGTAGTCTGGACTATGGGGGGAGGGGTGTAATGTATCCGTATTGCCACGTGCGCGACCGTTGGGCCATGCGGTCACGCACAAGTCCCAAGCTTCGTTCCGGGAGAACAATAGCAGAGCGGATCCTAGCCCGCACCAACCAGAGGGCAAGGTCCGCTGCCAAGAGCCTATGAGACTCTTGGTCACTGTAAATAACCTATAGGGTCACTAAGGGGTGTGTTCTGATGGTGGGTTCTGGGCATATATACCGGCCTGCATGCCGGGGGTCCTTGTCTTGTTCTTGATCTAATAAAGTACTTTGCTGAATCACTCTACGTTTCGGAGATCCTGCAAAGGGAGACCATGCTACGTGCTCTCCACCTGATTCTTTGCCATGTAGTTGAACTTCAGAAGCACAAAAACAGCAATCCGTTTTTTAAAAAGATACAATGAGAGTCACTTTGCTGCTTCTTACCTACCTACTGAGTTAGTAAATACTGTCTGGATGGGTGTCTCTGGAGATGAGAGAGCAGTTGTTACAGCATTGGATCCTAGCCCTTCCATCACCAGCACCACAGCCGACACAGCCTCCTCCTTTGTCTCGGTATTCCAGTTAGAATGGTTGATAACAAGCTTTTCAAAGGATTCTGCTGTGTCCTGCAACATTACAAGAAACAAACAGACCTCACAACAATTTGGAACGACCTTTGATTATTCGTAAAGATGTCATTGTCAAAAGAGGATCAGGTAGTGACTCTACACAGAAGAGGCAGAGGGAATTGATCTTTATACAATCCTGAAAGGCTGGACAATAAATAGACATTGTCTTATGAACAGGTAACCCATTCAAAAGCCAACTAATGGTAAAAAAATTATATAGGGAAGAAGGTTGTAGTAAAACAGATTTTGGGGGGTCTTTTATAAAGGGAACAATGTTGTGGTTTTACTGTCTGTGGGGAAAAGTAGGATGTTTTATATAATATTATTAGCTGCATGATACTGATTTTATTTCATTGTTGTCTCCTGTTGTAATCTAGTTATATACATTGTTTGTTGTACATACTAGCCTCTCTTCATGATTTTCTAATAACATAATCCACCTTGAGTCACAATGAGAAAGGTGGACTAGTTAATAAATGAACTTTCAGAATGTACGTAGTGAATAAGCAGATGACACTTTGCTCATTATTTGACTGTATGAGTGTGTAGAGATGCACACAGATATAAGAAATAAGACCAAGGGGGGGGGGGGAAACAAACTATCTCTGTCTAGTATATTCTGTTCAACTTAGCATCTATGTGGCAGAAAAAACGAGTGCCTGAAAACTGCCTTGGACACATTCAGCCATCACCCACTGTAATCTACAATATGACACCATACAAGAAAGTACAGCAACATCTCCTAAGGGGAAGGTACAACCATAGAATCATAGAATCAAAGAATGTTAGAGTTGGAAGGGACCTTGCAGGCCATCTAGTCCAACCCTCTGCACTCTGCAGGAGCATAGCTGAAATATAGCCCGACATACCTACAACATACCCAAAAGATGGTTGTCCAGCCTCCGCTTGAAAACGTCCAGCGAAGGAGCATCCACCACCTCCCGAGGCAGACTGTTCCACTGCTCAACCACTCTTACAGTTAGGAAGTTTCTCCTGATATTTAGCCGGTAACAACTCCCTTGTAATTTCCACCCATTAGATCTAGTCTTGCAATCCGGAGCAAGAGAGAATAGATCTGCTCCATCTTCTACATGACAGCCCTTCAAATACTTGAAGACTGCAATCATGTCCCCTCTAAGCCTTCTCTTTCCCAGGCTAAACATACCCAATTCTTTTAGCCTTTCCTCATAAGACTTTGATTCCAAGCCTCTCACCATCCTGGTTGCCCTCTTCTAGACACGCTTGAGCTTGTCAACATACTTCCTAAAATGTGGTGCCCAAAACTGGACGCAGTACTCCAGGTGAGGCCTCACCATAGCAGAATAGAGCAGAACTACCACCTCCCGTGATCTGGACACAATGCTTCTGTTACTGCATCCTAAGATTGCATTAGCTTTCTTCACAGCCACATCGCACTGCAGGCTCATGTTTAGCTTGTGATCAACCAGAACACCCAGATCCCTTTCACATGTACTTCTGTCAAGCCAAGTCCCTCCCATTCTATATCTGTGCCTTTGATTTTTTTGTACCTAAGTGTAAGACGTTGCACTTCTCTCTATTGAAATTCATTTTGTTTGTCTCAGCCCACTGTTCCAGCCTATCTAGATCATTTTGAATCCTGACTCTGTCTTCTATAGAATTAGCAATCCCACCTAGCTTCGTGTCATCTGCAAATTTGATAAGCATCTCCTCTATGTCTTCCTCCAGGTCATTTATAAAAACATTGAGCAACACTGGGCCTAGGACTGAGCCCTG